CCTGCTGGCCAAAGGATGTGGCTGCCCTAAGGGGGAGTATTCCTGGGACACCAAGATACTAGAAGGTTCTTGATGAACAGTTAATTAGATGAAGAGGTGTTAGTTATATAACTTCGCGTTTCATCTCATCCTCGGGCTGTTGGAATCAGATTGTCCTGGTTTCAGATCTTGTCTCGGCTTCTGATTAGCTGTGTGATCTCAGATGAATTAGTAACAATCCAGCTAGAGATTGCTCCTCCGTAAGATGAGATGATAATTGTTCCTGACACAATGGAAAGGATTAAACCAGAAAATGCAGGGAAAGCCTGTGGGATAGTTCTAGCTCAAGAACAAATATCAACTGTGATGACTATTTTAGTGCTTCCCGTTAGGTGTCTGCACTCCCAACTCTTGCCTTGTGATAGACATGATCTTTTTATTTTATTATTTTATTTTTATCCTTTTAGAATCATGAATAGAGTCAGTAAAGTTCCTGAGGAGATCATCCCCTCAGCAGGAGCTTTTTTTTTTTTTTCCTGGGAAAGGCATATTTTGTGCTGTGATTCTCAGAACATTTGTGTTTCCAAGATCTTCCTTGGCTCCACGTGCTGCCCCATATAAAGATCCCAGTGACTACTGGTGTTCCCCAACACTGTTTGGTAACCTTTTAAGCAAGAGAATAAGCAAAGGGAAAGTGTGTTGATTTTTAAAGTAACAATGGGCAAGAATCTTCCTGCACACTTTTGGGGGAAGGCCTAAGTTACAAATGAACACTCCTGTTGAAAGTATTGGAGATATATGTGTGAAATGTGATTTAGTTGAGTAAACTTTGCCCACCTACTGTGTGCAGTCCCCCAGACCAGGCCCTAGATATCCAAAGATGATTCGAGATGTGTTTTCCTGCCTTTGAATTCAGGATTTTGCTTGTGAAGTTGGTTAAAAACAACCAGACCTCTCCCCACAAAAAAAAAAAAAAAAAGTAAAATGATAATTGGTATAACAGGAAGGAGTGAGCTCACAGATAAAGAAGCAAATCGTTCTCTGAGAGCATACCATCTCAGTTGCCTCTGAAGGGTTAAAAGGGCATTCACGAGGGAGGCACCGGCATGGGAGGTGAAGAGTGTGACCAAGGGCGTATCGTGCACAAGGGTGTTTGGCAGCCAGTCATCCCACACCAGAGACCAGGCTGAGGAGAGATGCAGGACCTCATAGACATTTGGAAAGCTCTCACTGCCGGCCAACATCAACTGCCAAGGCCAGCTATTTTCTCCTAGTATTTTAAAGACTTACAGACCACAGGATTTTTTTTCCTTATTAATATCTGCCTTCTTCAGAGTCATATGGGAGTTTATGAATGTGTGTGTGTTTACACCTCACCTCTCAAATGATTGATCTCAAAAATGTAAAGGACTGAGCCAGCGCCATGGCACGTAGGCTAAGCCACTGCCTGCAGCACCAGCATCCCATATGTGTCAGTTCAAGCCCTAGCGGCTTCACTGCCAGTCCAGCTCCCTGCTAAAGGCTTTGCCCCAATACCCAGTTGGGAAACCCAGAAGATGCTCTCCAGGCCTCCCTGCTGCCTGACATTTGTACAAGCTGTGTGTGACTATGATCGTCAAGTAAGAGTTCTGTTGCTAAAACAGGTAGACATACTATTGCCCTACCCCAAAGGAAGGGCTTTAAAAATGGAAAATCCAGGCACTTGCAAAGAGAACAGAAGTTTTTGGTTTTTTGTTGTTGTTGTTTTAAGATGTATTTATTTTGGGCCCTGGCATGGTAGCCTAGTAGCTGAAGTCCCTGCCTTGTACATGCCAGGATCCCATATGGGAGCCGGTTCTGATCCCAGGGATCCTGCTTCCCATCCAGCTTCCTGCTTGTGGCCTGACAAAGCAGTCAATGATGGCCCAAGGCCTTGAACCCACGTGGGAGACCTGGAGGAAGTTCCTGGCTCCTGGCTTCGGATCGGTGCAGTGCCAGCCATTGCGGTCACTCAGGGTGTGAATCAACAGACGATCTTCCTCTTTCTCTCTGTATATCTGACTTTGCAATAAAAATAAATGAATCTTAAAAAAATAATAATTATCACAGCTGTGAATCCGGAAGCCTTTTCCCTCAGGCCAGTGAGCTGCTTTATTATTATTATTATTATTATTTATATATTTATTTGAAGTTAGAGTGACAAAGGACGGACAGAATCTTCTATCCATTGGCTTACTCCCCAAAAGCTGACACCAGCCAGGGCTGGGCCAGGTGCAGGCCGGGAATCAGGAACCCTGTGGATGGCAAGAACCCAAGTACTTAGGTGATCATCTGCTGCCTCCCCCGTGTTTTGGCAAGCCCGCCATGCCTGGAGCCAGTGCACTAGCACGAGCTGCAGGTACCCTGAACTGTGGTTTAACCTGCTGCACCACAGTGCTTTCCCCTTAGCCCCTTACCAAGAATGGCGTCATTTTCTAAAGGATAGACGGTGCCTCCATAGCAGTGCAAAGGCGGCACTGGAGTCCTTCCCAAGCTCACCCTCCAGTGTCACCCAGAAAAGCTGGGCCAAGCAGCCAAGCCCAGAACCTTCTATCCATGGGGGAGAGACAGCCTTTACGGAATATTCCAGGGCTAACTGGGGAGGGAAGGGGGAGGAGGGAGCATGTCATATGCCTGTGGTTCAGCAAACTGTACCCACACAGCAGGCATGGAGACACACAAGGAAGGCACCCCCACTCCGTGGGCAACTGAGCAGCAGTCCTCTTCCCACGCACCAACCCATCTGCTCCTGTGCCTTCACAAACATGCCTTTCTCTCTCTTCTTTTTTTGGTTCTCTGCAGCTTTGAATCCGCAAGGAACAGACGTAGGAGACGGAGAAAGGTAAGGTCAGAAGAGGGCACAGGACAGTGGGGAACGGGAGGCGGCTCCCGGGGGTACCGCAAAATAAAGCACATCCTGGACCACTTCAGCTTGACTGTTCGCGTACTTCAGTGTCCTGCAGGCAAAGTCACGGCCCAAGGACAACTGTGGCCTTAAGGGACCAGCAGGACACTTGCCTGTGTGTCACAGGACACGGACACCCACTCTGTCCCCTTGCAGAGGTTGGCATAGGCCACTAGACGTATTCCTTGGCACTTTTGATTCCCTACAGCTCATGCCCCCATCACCTAGGACAGTAGGCTCCCCAAAGCTGCATGACCACAGGCCAGGAAGCTGTGGGCTCAGGAAGGGTATACATGGGGTGAGGGTGAGTTCTCCCTGCCCTCCATCCCCTCACAGAGCTGGGGCAGGGCCTAGACAGAGGAGGCCAGCCAGCTTGACTGCAGTCACTACTGGGAAAGCTTGAGCAGGTGGGCTTAACAGGCCAGGCCCTTTTTTTTGGTCTTGACTGTTCTTTCCCTGGAAGTGTTCACTGTGCCTTGATCCTGCCTGCCAGTCTTAGCATCACACCCATCCTTGGTTAGAGCTAACTACCAGGCTCTGGCCTCAGGCTCCTCCCTGCAAAGCAGTTATGGTCCTGACCCAAACCAGCCCCAGTTGATACCAGGCCCCGCTCCCAGCTGCGATGACATTTCCGTTGCCCCCTTCACTTCCCTTCCCCCATTTTTTGCTGGGGGTGGGGCCTTGCCCTCTCTCGAGGATTAAGCTATCAGTTCTGCTGGCCCAGTCTCTCCAGCTGCACCTGCCAGGACCTGGTCAGCCACCCATGTCCTTTTCCCATTGCACAGGGTACTCTTGATCCAAGTGGACAGTCCTGTCCTTCCAGGGGCCCTCTGTGGGGCTCCTGGGCCGGGGGTGCTGGGAGTACAGTGCCTGACAAAGCAAGCCCAAGCTGCAGCTGGCTTTGGGGGTGGGCTTGGCCTCCCACTTGTTTGCCTTCTTGGCCCACAAGCCCTCTCCCACCTTCATAGTTGCAGACATTGTGCCAACGTGCTGAGGGCTGCCAGCCTGCCTCCTCCCCGCCCCCACTGGTCTGGAGCAAGCCACCTGCATCCACAGGCAGGTGTTTCCTGTGCTCCTTCCTGTTGCTGGGTTTTAGGTTTTTTTTTTTGCTTCTCAACGTGGCTTCCCCAGCAGGTGGTTGAAGCCCCAGCCTAACCTCTTCACACACAGCCTCTACAAAACACTGGGGGGCAGGGCTCCCCAGGGATCTGGGTCACCCCTCCCCAGCCCCAGAGTCGGGACAGTTAGCTCACTGGTTCTTCCGGGGCGTGGGCACACACATTCCACAGTACAGCTCTGTGCACAGGGTCATGCGCTGTGCTACGTTGCAGACACCTGACTTCTGAGTGGGCTGGGAAGTCCGGTGGGCCACTCCCAAGTACCATCTCCCTTGTGTCTGGGTGATGCAGTTTCAGAGAATGAAGGGAAGGGCGGTGGAGGCGGTGGATTGGTGCCTCTTGCAAGTAAGCCCACCACCCTGCAGTCCCACTTCATCCTCAAGTCCCTCACAGAGGGGTTGCAACAGTCACATGTCTGACAGCTCTGGGGCAGGTGGCCTCCCCTGGGAGCCACAGGCTGCAGCAGGTTTGTTATTAGAGAGAGGCCGTTGGAGGAAGGAAGAGACTTGCTGTTTTGGGTCACAGGTGGCCATCGGGGTCTGCAGCCTCCCAGTCCCCCTCCTCCCACTTACTACCAAGCCATCTGTAGGAAGTCACCTCCCTTAAAGGGAGGATCAGGAGCCTGGCATCGGCTAATGAGGTTCTGCTGCCCCCTGGTGGCCACAAGTACAGCCACACCAGGCCATCTTTTTTCTCTGCTTCTTTAACCCCTGGCCAGGACCATGCCCAGTCAGGACTTGGCACCCTGTGGGGCATCTCTAGCTAACTCTACAGTTCAGCTGCACCCTTGGCCTGTGGTTCCCAAGCCCAGCATGCAGACTGAGCCTCTGTAGCTACACCCCACCCACCCTTTCCCAAACCCAGTTGGATTTGCTTCCACCCGGATTTCCAGGGCAAATGCATGTGCTGTTCCCACGGCTGCAGTGTGAACAGAGCCAAGGGCATGTTGGAGCAGAGGGTGAACAGCAGACCAGGCTGTGTAGGAAAGGCAATTGGCTTTTTTTTTTTTTAATTATTATTTTCTGTAAAACTCTGTAAATAAAATACAAAACCATGGGAAGTGGCAGGGCAGAGGCTGGGTGCTGGGCCCCAGTCACTGATGGTGGCTGGGACGTGCCACACTGAAGCTGGGAGGCACTTGACTGCAGGTACCCTCTCTGCCAACCCTTGGGGGCAATGGGAGAATATATTAGATTTTTCACTGATAGCAATCTGTAGGGGAGGAGTGTCCGGAGCCAGCCCTCACCCTCCCTGCCAGTGCCTGGCAAGCCCTGAAAATAGGAGGAAGGGGCCCGGCAAGCTGGTGGGCGGGGAGTCTAGAACGCTGTGCTGGCCATGCTTCCGGGCCCAAAGATGCGGGGCAGGGCGTCCAGGGACTCCTCCAGCCGTCGATGGGCCGACTGACCTTCCTCCCCTGGAACACAGGCAGACAGGGTCAGGAGTGGCCCGAGCCTCATCTCGTGCTGCTCCCTCCAGACGGAGTGTCCATCCCAGCCAGTCTCCCCTCTTACCGCACTGTTGCAGGCTCTGCCGGGCGGCTTCCCTCACGGCTTCTGTATCTGTTTGGCACAGGTACACCAGGGGCTCAATGCCCTCAGGGGCCTAGGAGGGGAGAGAGAACATGGAGGTGGGCCCAAAGGAGCAGGTGGGAGGAGCCTGGGGGGCAGAGGTGTGGGCAGGGGAGCAGGGAGAGAGTGGCTGGCTAGCTGTCAGAGTCACCTTGATACAGCCGAGGGCCAGGCAGCCGGCCACTCGGGTCTGCACATCCTCATCCTCCAACTGGTCGAGGAAGCACAGGAGGGCCTGGGAAAGGCAAGGCAAGGCAGAGAAAGAAGACTTAGCCAGCCACCAGGAGCCCAAGACCCCAACCCTCGCCCTTCCAGGAGCTCTATCCAACTCTCACCCTCTTCCGGAAAGCAGGGCCCAATGACAGGCTCCGGAGCTGGGTACTGACAGCAGCCATGACCTTGTTGTTGCCATGGACGAGCAATGAGCTGAGGGCCCGAAGCCCATCCCCGCGTAGCCTCCCCTCAGGAGCCAACCTCAGGGCCTTCAGCACAACAGCCTGGTCGTCAGAGTTCAGATTGCGCACAAGTAACACTGAGGGGAGAGAGAGAGAGGGTGGGGTGACACAGGCTGGCAGGACAAAGAACCCCTTTAGGTGGGAGGTCCCATCCTCAGAGCCACCTCTAAACTAGGGCCACGGCGTCACCTTCCTCAGCAGTCTCAGTCACATAGGCATCGAGGGAGGGGCTCTCCAAGGTCTCCACGTGGCTCCAGAACTGGAAGATGGTGAGCTGTTGCCCAGGGCCTGGCTGGGGCCTCCTAGGCAGCTTGTGTCCCAAGGCGTCCTCCAAGAACTTCACACACACTGTGTGGGTAGGGGGACAGGGCCAGGGCCTCAGAGCTGGGGCAGGGAACACACCCATCCCAGGTGTAGGGCCCGGGGGACTGGGGCCCCACCCATACCCTACCCACCAGGCTCCTGTTGTAACGTGTGCTTCTCAGTGGATCTGTCTGGCCTGCCCTGGGGTCCCTGTAGGGCAGGCCGGTGGCCTACTCACCAGCCTCAGCTAAGCCAGGCTGGCGCAGGGCGAGCCGAGCACCATGTTGGCCACAGAAGGTGAGAAGCACGCGCTCCACAGGGCAGATGAAGGGGCTAAGTCCCTCTGTGCACTGGTCCCAGAAGGGCAGGAAGCCGGGCCGAGAGGTAGAGAACTGCACCACTACAAGGGGTGTGGGAGAACCGTCAGCAAGAGAGCAGGTGCAGAAGATAATGGAAGGGGCAGAATGGAAGAGGGAGAGCCCTGGCCTTTACCTTCCTGGGCACAGGTGATAGGGACATCCCACAGCCTGCTGAGCCCACACACGGCCTCCAGCACCCGGGCCTCCCGCAGCAGCCGCTCCAGGGCCCATGCCTCCTGGCAGCGCAGGGGCCCGAATGTGCCCAGTTTCTGGAGAACAAGGGAGTGTGTAGAACTTAAGTCCCTCAGACTGTGGTTTTGGGATGCACTGTGAGAGGAGAGATGAGCCAGAGTGTGTGTGTGTGTGGGGGGGTCCTCCAATCTAGCCAAGAGCCAGATGCCAGGGGTATGAAGCTCAGTGAAGGAATGGGGCTCTCCAGGGGTTAGGGTGCAGGGGAAATACTACAGGCCTCACCAGCAGGAGGCGACTGCAGTGATACAGGTGTTGGACCAAGGCCGTGTCCAGGGCTGCACACCCTGTGCTGAGGGGGCGAGCACTAGGTGAGTCTGGGCTGTCCTCAGCCCCAGCTTCCAGGCTGCCAGGGGGCCTGAGAGAAAAATGGGGCCCGTCGCCCCAGGAACACGCATTACCATCTGGTCACCAATGCTTATTTATTAAGCTTCCCTACCCTACCCAGAATGGAGGAGTAGACAATATACATAAAACAGACAATGGGTAAGTTCACGGAGGACTTGCAGGAGGAGGAAGGGGCTGGGAGCAGCAGGTACAGGAAGAGTCAGCCCTGTGCCACCTCCAGCTAGGACCGCCGGGATTGCCGAGGCTGGGATGGGCGGGAGCAAGGTTGCGGGCGAGATGGTCTGCGAATGGTGGACTGTAAGCGGTACGGTGCATGGGGTCGGAACCTAGGCAGCAACAGGGGGAGGACGGGCCGGGCACGACCCTCCACTGGGACTCTACAAGGGGCACTCCGGGACTGGGCGCTAAGGGCCCGGGGCCTCCGAGAGAGTCTGAGTCGAGACAGAGGCAACCGGTGCTCAGGGACCCAGTGCGTACGGGAAGGCACGGGGAGACTTCCTTCCTGGGATAGGTCCAAGGTCAGGCCAGGGGGCAGAGGCAGGGATGGAGGCTCATGGGCTGACGGGGCCTGGCAAGGTAGGCAGGCATTGAGGAGGCCAGGAGAAGGGCGATCAGAAGCACTGGGGACACAGACGGGGTCAGAGACATAGACATCAGACACAGGAGGTGGACACGGGAGGAGTAGACACAGGTGCACCTGCCATCAACGACGCCGTTTTATGCCCTAACTGGCCCCAGCTCATCTCTCCCAACTCACCTGTTCCTCTTGCACTGCTCACTTCCCCCCAGCAAGCTTATCTCTTCCTGCTCCCCTAGCCCATTCCCCCCTGAGCCCCTCACCTGTCCCCAGAACCATGACTGTCCTCCTCTTCATCATCATTGAGAAAGCTGAAGCTCTCCAGGGCATGCTCCACAGTGATACTGAGACTGGACGCACGGCTGAGAGTCAGGCCCTGTCTCTGCTGAGGTTATGAAGGGGGGAAGAGAGCTGCTGACCCTGCCTGGCTGCCAGGCCCCTATCCCGTCCCTCCCCTCCCACACATTGGCCCAGCCCTCCTCACCATAAGCAGACTCTCCAGCCGGGTCACCTCTTGCTCCAGGCCCTGGAGCTCAGGGAACTGGCCACGATAGTCATCTAGGGCAGCCGTCAGGGTGCCCAGGGCCTCCTCTAATTTCCTGTCCTCAGCCCCTCCAGCTTCCCCAGGGCCTGGGGCCTGGGCAGCCGGAGCCAGGCGAGGTTCTGAATGCTGGAGTGCAGGGGCTGAGGGTGAAACAGGGGTGCTTGGGGTCCTCAAGATGGGCTCAGGGGTGTCAGCAGCAGGGCTCATGAGGGGTTTCCAATCAGAGCAGATTGGACTTGGGTGGGAGGTGCTGGGGGTTGTGGGGTCTGCCTGAACACTAGGAGCAGACACTGGCTGACCACAGGGCAGAGAGCTCGTGTCCAACAGGGTCGGGTCTGCATGTGCAGAGAAGCTGGGGAGCAGAGCATGGTCTGGAGAAGTGGACAGGTTTGACAATACAACAGTGGGGCTTGTAGTGGGCGGAGTTGGGCTCCCAGCATCAGGGGTAGGGACTGTAGTGGTGGGAGTTAACACAGTAGCATTCTGAGTGGGGCCTGTGGTAGGCTGGGCTGGGCTCCCAGCACTGGGAGTAGGACTTGTAGTGGTAGGAGTTAACACAGTGGCATTCTGGGTGGGGCTTATGACAGAATGGGTGGAGCTTGTGGTGGGTTTGGTGGGCACCCCAGCATTGGGGGCAGACCTTGTAGTGGTAGGAGTCAATAAACTGACATTCTGGGTGGAGCTTATAGCAGAGTGGGTGGTGCTTGTGGTAGGCAGGGTGGGATCTACAGCACTAGGGGCAGAGCTTGTAGTGGCAGGAGTTAACACACTGACATTCTGGGTGGAGCTTATGGCAGAGTGCGTGGGGCTTGTGGCAGGCAGGGTGGGACCTACAGTACTGGGGGCAGAGCTTGTAGTGGTAGGAGTTAACACAGTGGCATTCTGGGTGGTGTTTATGGCAGAGTGGGCAGGGCTTATGGTGGGCTGGGTGGAGCCTATAGCACTGGGGGCAGGGCTTGCAGCAGGAGGGGTGAAGCTTACAGTAGTGTGAGTAGGCTTTGCAGTGGGATGGATGGGGGTTGTGGTATTCAGGTCCAGGCCTGTAGTGCTAAAGGTCGAGGTGGGGGGCTTGTGGTCAGAGCCAGCAGGTGTGACAGTGTGGCTTGGAGCACTAAGGGTGGGGCTTCTTGCACTAGAGGTGGAGCCTGCAGTGGTGCAGGTGGGGCCTGACACTTCTGAAGGGCCAGCGTCTGTGGCTTTGGGAATCGTGACTGGGTGTGTAGATGCAGCAGAGTCCGCAAGTATGGAAGCAGGGTCTGATGCACTGAGGGTGGGGCTTGTGGCTGAATGGCCAGAGTCTGGGGTCAGAGGAGCAGGGCTGGGGTGGTCCCCAGCGGTGGGATCTTGGTGTACAGGCAGGCTTGGACCCTGGGTCAGGCTTTCTGGGCCCACAGCCTCCATGGAAGCCTCAGCCAAGGCAGCATCCACACTGGCCTCACTGATGTGGCTCAGAGTCCGGCTGTAGGGGGCATGCCCATTGGCCAGAGCTGGGGCCACGGCGCCCTCCTCATTCACAGGCCTAGAACTGGGGGCCTCGGGCCTACGGAAGGCAACCTGGATGGATAGGGGCTCAGGCTGCTGCCTCAGGGGCCTGGGGGCTGACGAATGGCGGGCAGCGCCTGAGAGCTGTGGGCTGGAGGAGTCGTCTGAGGATTCCGACGACAGAGACCATGCTGTCCCATTCTCCAGCTCCTCCTGCCTTCGCAGCATGTTCTGGGGAAAAGGACAGGACATGTGAGAACCACCCCCAGAGAGCCCCCTGGGGAGGGGGAAGGTGGGAAGGCCTGGGTGACTCACATAGAAGGCCTGCTCCCGTAGCGAGGGAGTGTCTGGTGGGCTCTGGCTGTAGGTGGAGAAGCGCTTGGTGACCGTGGAGGCCTTGGTGACTGTAGAAGCAGCAGATGGCTGGTCATCCTTGTCAAAGGGGCTGGGGGGAAGGGAGATGGATAGAGAGAGTATCAGCAGTTGCCACAGCCCTCCACACCCTGTCCCCAAGCTCCTGGGTCCCACTGACCTCCATGTGACTTCTAGGCTGAGCTTGATGGTACCGAGGTCATTGATGTCCACGGCCACAACCTGGGGCAGGGCAGCAAATAGGTCCTTGGTCTCGCAGGAGACACTGCCCACAACCACGTGATTGGCCAAGCCCTTCAGTTCTGTCACCTGCAGCCAAGAGCACACAGTGGGGTCACCGGGGTAGGAGGCTATGAGACTGTGGGTGCTCAGAGGTCAGAAGATGGTCCCAGGGTCCCAGAGCCAGGGGGACGTGGGAGTGGGGGTATCATGGCATCAAGGGGACCTGAAGCAAGCAACCTGGGAGCATGCGTTGGGGTCTCTGAGATCACAGCCCCATGGGAACTCTGGGGGTCAGACATTCACAGGGTAAGACCATGAAGTGGTCACAGGGTCAGAAGACCATAAGATCAGAGAAGTCAGCAAGATTGGATGGCGAGCATTGGAGGGAATCCCAAGGTCATGAAGGGCACCAGGTCACACATTTACAGGTTCATGGAGCCATGAGGGGGTCACAGGGTTGCTGGGAGTTCTCAGGGTCTTGGGGTCCTCAGGCCCATGCTGTCCTGCAGAGCTGGGAAGAGACGTCACCTTGATAGACAGGAATTCCGTGAGCAGAGGAAGAAAGACGGTTTCTTCGCTGTCCCACACCTGCTTTCCGCTCCCCTCTATGCGGCCCCGCAGTTTCCACCGCTGACGCCCATATTTCATACAGATCTAGAAGAACAGCTGGGATGAGGCAACCCTTGGTGTTGTGACCCTGGAGGTCCCAGCCCTTCCCTCTACCTCCACATACCTCATACTGGTCACCCACACATAGCCTGGCAAAGCCAGCCAGCCCTGGGAGGAAGGGGAAGAGGCAGATGCACTGTCAGGCAAGAGATTCTGAATATACTCCCTCTACCCCACCCAGCAATTCCCACCACAGCACCTTTCATCCGCAGATGAAACTCGCCCAGCTGTGCCTCCAGCTCGCCCTCCAGCACACACATGCTCTGAAAGGGAGGGCCAGGACGAGTCAGCAGGCAGCTAGCTCCCTGGGGCCAGCCATCCCCACCCTGGGCTTCTGCCTTCGGCCTTGTGGACACCCATCCCTCACCTCTGTGTACTCGCGATGCCCCCGGGAGGCCTCGGCCAGGCTGTCCCGAGCCTCCCGGCTCCCTGGGGACCCGGTGCTGTAGGCACGGACCATGTTGTAGGCACCGTCACGGAGGCGCCGCTGGACACAGTACGCCTCATAGAGCTCATCGATCTGGAAGGGTGAATGGGATGACAGAGTGAGGGCCTGAGACCACCACGAGAGCTGCTCATCCCCAGCTCATCACCAGCCCTATCTTTCCCATGTTATCCACGCCCAACCCTGCTTGCCAGGCTTTCTGCCCACCTACCTTGCTGGCATGGAACTCGAGTCGTCGCAGGAAGCGTTCGATGGACTTGACTTGCTGGGGGAAAGGTAGGTCAGGAGGCGCCTGAGGGCCAGGGCTCCTGCCCCTCCCCAGGAAAGCCAACCCCTTTTTGCCATTCACACACTCACCTTGTCCAAGTCATACAGGAAGCCCTGCAGGGGGCAGTAAGAAGGGGCACTTAGGATCAGTGGAAGAACTCCAGCAGGGGCTCCCCTCCGGATCCATGAAAGCCCCCTCTGGGCAGCCTTCTTGCCTATCTCCCCACAGCTGCAGGGGGCTGCAATGTTGCAGCCCGGATGAGTGCTGCCAACGCAGGTCTGGTCCCTTGCAGCCCTCTGGCAGCCCTGGCCCCCTTCTCCCCTAGGAAACAACCCAGGGCCTGCCTGGGTACAGTTCCCCCTGCCAGGGCCTCCCACTGAGCCAGCAGAGGTGTTCCCTTCTTCAGCAGGGAAAGCTGGGATTCTCCCACTCCCATCATGTGACCACAGTCTCCTGGTGCTCAGCCCTTCCACCCCCATAGTAGATGCTCCTGTGAGCAGGTGCAGGAAAGTAAGCAAAGTATGCATAGTGAAAGTGGAGCAGCCAGGACCAGAACTGGCACCCGTGTGGGATACTGGCACTTGAAGATGGAAGATTAGTTTGTTGAACCACCACACTGGCCCCCAGTCCCTTTGGAACTCATACCCAGACCAGTTCACGCACACCACCTTCGCACCTGATCCTTCCCCCACTGTCCCGTGGCTGAACAGAGCGTCCACAACTCCAGATCACTCACCAGGCGTGAATTCCTTTTGGACTCCTTGATCTGCCCCTGGAGTTTCTCCTGCTCCTGCTGGTGTACCTCCAGGTAGGCCCTGGGAGGAAGGGCAGCAATGACAACAAACTCACCCCTCCAGCCTCAGGCAGCCCAGAAACCCTACCAACAGAAGGGAGGAACAGAGGCACAAGGGTGTAAGGGAGCTGCTTACGTCAGACCTCTCTTGAGTGCGGCATACACCAGGTCCAAACGCTCGGGCTGCGGCACCTTGGGTGCCGGGTGGGCTACGGAAAACATCCTGGACACGCGGGAGAGCGCGGGCGGCTTCCGTGGGGGCCCCGGAGGGCTGAAGACCTGGAAGCTCCTGTAGAAAGTGCTGCCCTCAAAGACAGGCAATCGGGAGTCCCCCCAGAGCTGCTGCACCCCAAATCCTGACCAACCCGCCTCCCGTGACCCTGGTGACCCTGTTAGCCCCTACCTGGGCCCCCGTTCGTGGCTGCCAAGGACACCGGCGAAGGACTGGCTCCTACTGACCCGGGCGCTGAGCAGGCGGCGCTGCGGCCGCACCGACAGGGACATCATGGAATGGGTCCGTGCGGGGCTCCCTGGGGGCGGCGTGAGGGTGGGAGGAGGAGGTGTCCAGCACCAGTTGGGCCCCCGGGACCTCCTTCCCGCAGCCCGATCCCAGTGCTGGAGCAAGTCCTCGGTCACCAGGGACGGCTGCCCGAGTGGGCTCCAGCATCTGGACTCAGCCCTGCCAGCCCCCAGGGCTAATGACAGGGCCGCAGCAGGCGACTCGGCCTGGGACTCGGCCTGGGACTCGGCGTGGCCTCAGCTCGGCCCCCACTTCCTGCCAGGGTGCGGGCTCCGCCTGCCGCGAGGCAGGAAGGGGGGTCGCGGGCTCCGGGACCCTCCTCCAGCTGGGAAGGGGCAGGAAAGGGGCGGGCCGCGTAAAGAATGTGCGGAAGCGCCTATTTACTCGAGGGCGGGGTGGCTGTGCAGCCCTGCCCCCAGGCCGCCCCCCACCAGGGCTCAGGTGCCCCCACCCCGGGAGGCCAAGGGAGGTCACGGGGCGGGGCAGGTGCGTGCTCCGAGCCCTGTCCGACAGGCCCGGCCGGCGCGGGTTGGGCCGAGGCCACCAGCCCAGGGAGAGCTGCTTCCCCCAACGCACTCCCGGGGCTCCGACGCCAGAGCCCTCCCGGCGCCCAGCAAGCAGGGGGATTCCCAGGGTAGGGGGGCAGTGCCGAGAAATGCCCCGCCCCCTGCACCTTCTTGCGGTTCCAACCTGGAAACTGAGTCACAGGCGCACACCTTCAACTCTGCCCTTGGTAGGAAGGGGTCTTCAAGCAGAATCCCCCACCCTGCTCCGAAGTACGAACCCCCAGTTCCCAGATTCCGGCATGCACCGCCCCCCTTCTTCTCCCCAGCAGCCTGCGGCCAGCTTCAGAGCCTGCACAGCCCCAGGAAAGGTCCTACCTTTCTTTTTGGAGTTCATGGTAGGTCCAGGACGGGCCCCGCCCCGCTCTCGCCCCCCCACTACCCCACCGGCCCCTGGACACTAGGTGCCGGCCCCGATGGACTTCACGCTCGCTCCCAGCGGCTCTGGCTGGGCTTGGGCTCCTCTCGGCGCCTCCCTCCCGCCCAGTTCCTGCCGCCTGACTCAGCCGGCCGGGATGGGGCGGGACCCGCTGGACTAGGGGGCGCCAGGCCTTGGCACCACCAGCCCTGCGAGAGGAGTGCCTGAAGGCTCTCCACCAGGCAAGGACGAACTGGGGTCTTCTCCGCGGGGCTGGTGTCAGGAATGTGTGTAAACAGGACGGTGAGCATTGAGGGTAGGAGGGGCTGCGTGGGGACTGTGGCAATTGGGGGTTCACAGTGGCTGTTGGGGTGTATAGACCGAAAGGTTCAAAGGATGTGAGGGGTGGAGAGTGGGTGCTGACAGAGTGCAAGGAAGGGCTAGGGTGCCAAAGTGGAAGGGTCATGCTAAAGGGGTCTAACACACAATTGTGTGGCTGCTTCTGGAGAGATGCTGAAAAGGCCCCAGGTCCCTAGTATCCCACAGACTCAGGCCCCACTCCCAGACAGGGTGCTCAGTCTGGGCACCCATTGCCCAGTCAGAGTCTCCTCTCTAGCCAAAGCTGCTTCCTTGAGCTGAGGATCTTCCCCCTCTCTTCCCACGGGCTGCTCAGCACCTCCCATGGGGGGTCCCTCAGCGCTGAACACCCTTGCTGTCAGCTCTCTCCCACCCAGGCTATGTCATCTTTGAATAGCCCTTGTGTGCCTCCAGCCTGGACATAGGTGACCATGCCCAGGGGCCGCCGAGCGTCCCTTCCCCAGTCCTCCGAGGGGCTGCATGCTCCCAGATCGCATAAACATCCCTGCCTCAGTTCTGTCGCAGTGTGCTTACAGTCTCCTCAAACCCAGGGCAGGCAAAGGGTCTGCATGCCCAGCAAACCTACTGATCCCACTCCCCTCCCCCCACCCCGGGGCAATCAGAAGCAAGGGATCCAAGGACCACTTTGAGAATTGCTATTTTCGCCTGACCCCCCCTTACACACACACACAGGCCACCTCTGTATTCCCGGGATCACCTCCCCCAACACACACTAGCCTCTCTTCCCTTCAGTCATGCCCCCCCACCCCGCCCTCGCCATGGGAATAGTCTTAGTAGCTGCCTCTGGAATGGATCCTTTGCAAATTACAGCCACACCGATCACATCGTTCAGGCACTTTCCATTACCTCTCTCCACCTGCCCTCTACCTGGAGCCTCCCTGGTCCCCTCGGTCCCTGATTTGCTCAACCATTCACTGAATGGCAATGCTGGGCCAAGCACGTGCAAGGCACTGGAGCAGCAGCCTGGAATGTCCCAGACACCGCCCCGCACAGAGCTCCCAGCCCGCCTCTGCCCTCCTGGTGTCTGCCAGCTCCCTCCTTCCTCCTCGTCCCTGCTTTACCGGCTCTGCCTCCGCCCCAGCCTAGAAGCTCAGCTGTGTCCGCATACTTGCCTGCTACTGGTAATATCAGCCTGGCTCCCACCAGGCAAAACCAACCCCAGGCAGCAGATCCCCAACTGCCCCAGCATTACACCTGCAGACAGGCTGGCAGGTGCCACCAGAGATTCAGGCACAGCAGCTTCACTGCATACATGGAGCAGCTCTCCATCTCAGCCAGGCCCCCTCACTCCCACCCAGCACACTCTAAGAGCTGCTAACCATCTCTGCTTTCTCTTAGGCCCTCAGAATTGCTGTTCTCCAGGGGGCCTCAAACAAGCTCAAGTCACTCCCACACAACAAATGAAAACAACCCTAGAAACTTTTATCCAAATGGCCAGTGACAAATAGCGGAACTTTGCTACATGGCACAGTGGGGACTGTAACTCCCTGTGACCATGTGGATGATTGTCCAAAGATAATGTTCAGTGGAGGAGGCAAGGCATAAGTGGACATTCAAGGACACCTTAAAATGTTCGTAGAAAATTTAATTGAAAGATAAGTTTATTCTGGTGCAAAAAGATTTTTTTGGGGGGCCCGGCGCGGTGGCGCAAGTGGTTAAAGGTCCTCGCCTTGCACGCCTGGGATCCCATATGGGCACGGTTCTAATCCCGGCAGCCCCGCTTCCCTTCCAGCTCCCTGCCTGTGGCCTGGGAAAGCAGTCGAGGACGGCCCAAAAGCTTTGGGACCCTGCACCCGCGTGGGAGACCCGGAAGAGGCTCCTGGCTTCGGATCGGCATAGTATCGGCCCGTTGCGCTCACTTGGGGAGTGAATCATTGGACGGAAGACCTTCCTCTCTCTGTCTCTCCTCTCTGTATATCCGCCTTTCCAATGAAAAAATAATAAAAATAAATCTTTAAAAAAACAGTTAAAAAAAAAAGATTTTTTTTGAGAGGCAGGTGTTGTAGCACAGCAAATTAAGCTGCTTTCTGGGATGTCCACATCCCATACTGGAGTAGTGCTTCTAGTCTGCCTACTCTGCTTCCTAACCAGCTTCCTGCTGATGTACCTGCGAGGCAGGAAAGGCTGCAAAGGGGACACCTGGATAGAGTTCTGAGTCCTGGTTCCTGGCATAGGCCTAGGCCAGTCTCTGATGGTTGCAGGCATTTGTGGGAATGAACAAGCAGATGGATGATCTCGCTCTGTCTCTCTGCCTTACAAGTAGATGAAATTAAGTAACTTCCAAAAGGGGGGGCGCCTGACACTGTGGTATGGTAGGTTAAGCCACCACCTTTGATATTGGCATCTCACAAGGGCACTGGTTCAAGTCCTAGATGCTCCACTCTTTCTCTTTCTTTTTTACTTTTCATTCTTTCTCTTTCTTTCTTTCTTTAGATTTGTTATTTTTGTAATTGGAAAGGCAGATTTACACAGAGAAGGAGAGACAGAGAAAAAAATCTTTCATCTGCTGGTTGACTTCTCAAGTGGCCCCAACAGTTGAAGCTGAGCTGATCCAAAGCTAGGAGCCGGGAGCCACTTCCAAGTCTCCCACACAGGTGCAAGATCCCAAGGCTATGGGCCACCCTCTACTGCATTTCCAGGCCACAAGTAGGGAGCTGGATAGGAACTGGAGTAGCCAGGACACGAACTGGTGCCCATATAGGATCCTGATGGTTGCAAGGTAAGGATTTAGCCACCAGGCTACCGCGTAGGGCTCTGCTCCATTTCTGATCCAGATCCCTGCTAACAGTCTGGAAAAGCAGTGGAAGATGGCCTAACTGGTTGGGACTCTACAATCATGTGGGAGACCCATAAGAAGCTCCAGGCTCTTAGCTTCAGACTGGCTCAGCTCCAGCCATTGCAGCCATTTGGACAGTGAACTAACTGATGGAAGATCTCTTTCTGTAGTTCTCCTTTTCTCCCTGTAAATCTCCCTTTCAAATAATAACACTAATTTAAGAAATCTTTAGCAAAAACCTGCTTCTTAAATACACGCATACAAGGGATACTCCAAAAATTTAGGAACTGAATATTAGGTAAAATGTGTGTGTGTGTGTGTGTGTGTAAGAGAGACAGAGATAGGATGGCTTTCAAAATCTCCTACACCAAAATAAAACATGTATTTTAATTTCCTTTTCTCCATAAACTTTTTTTTAAGGATTTATTTTTTTATTGGAAAGTCCCATATACAGAAAAAAAGACAGAGAGGAAGATTTTTCATCTGCTGGTTCACTCCTCAAGTGAACTTGGCTGGAGCTGAGCTGATCTGAAACCAGAAGTCAGAAGCCTCTTCTAGGACTCCCAGCTGGGTTCAGGGTCCCAAGGCTTTGGGCCATCCTCAACTGCTTTCCTAGGCTACAGGCAGTAGCTGGATGGGAAGCAAGGCTACTGGGGTTAGAGCCGGTCCCCACATGGGATCCTGGTGCGTGCAAGGATTTTAGCTGCTAGGCTACTGTGCCGGGCCCTTCTCCTTTAAAAAAGATACTTTTTTAAAGTACCTTTGATCAAAAAATAAAATTAAATTGAAAAGTACTCTGTGCTTGCTTCGGCAGCACATATATTAAAATTGGAACGATGAAGAGAAGATCAGCATGGCCTCTGCGCAAGGATGACATGCAAATTTGTGAAGCAAATGACATGCAAATTTTATTATTTTTAAAATAAAATAATAAGTTAAAATTTAAAAATACCCTTGATCATGAAGTTCAAAAACAGGCAAGGGCCCGGCGCAATAACATAGTGGTTAAAGTCCTTGCCTTGAACCCACTGGGATCCCATATGGGCGCCAGTTCTAATCCCAGCCACCCAGCTTCCCATCCAGCTCCCTGCTGGTGGCCTGGGAAAGCAGTAGAGGACAGCCCAAAGCCTTGGGACCCTGCACCCACATGGCAGACCCAGAGGAAGCTCCTGGCTCCTGGCTTTGGATTGGCTCAGCTCCAGCTGTTGCAGTCGCTTGGGGAGTGAACCATCAGACGGAAGATCTTCCTCTCTATCTCTCCTCCTCTCTGTATATTGGTTTTTCCAATTTAAAAAAACAAAAACAAAAAACAGGCAAAAACCTAATCTGTGATGACAGCCATGAGATGAATCGTGGGGTGCTGTACCTAGAAGGGGACACGGAGGACTGTTTGATCTCCGTCTAGAGGAGTGTGTGCCTTTGTGACAGTGTCCTGAGCTGCAGGCAGAGAACACACATTCCTTCTGGATTTATGTATCAATTTAGACTTGGCTCTCTGCCAGTGACTCACACATGACTCCCCCTGCGGACCCTGTGTTTCTCTCCAGTTCCCCTCTCCTCACCTGATTTCTCTCTCCTCCTTTCAGAGCCAAATCGTTTTTTTTTTTTTCCCAGAGCCAGATATTTTAAAAATTTCTGTTTACTTATTTGAAAGGCAGAGTGATAGACTGTGGTCTCCTATCTGTTGACACAACCCCCAAATGCCTGCAACAGCTAGGGCTGGACCAGGCCAAAACCAGAAGCAAGGACCTCAGTTTGGGTCTACCACATGGGTGGCAGAAACCTAAGTACTTGAGCCATCACCTGCTGCCTGCCGGAGTGCACA